CGAATCAATAATGTCAATGGATGGTCATTAAAAAGAATCAATGTTGAATGATTCGGCTAAAGCAAAAAAGGCGACTTGAGTACATTGGTAATTTAAAATTGAATGATGGACTGAATCTAGACTTTATTAATGTAATATACTTTTTTATCGGTTTAATTTGAAAGTAGGAATATAATAGTTACGTTATGTATATCTACCTCTTTGCTTAATATTATAATCACAATTTATAATATTGCGATGCCAATTTGTTGATTGTTCTTGACAACTTCAATCTCAAAGTTAAACGAATGATGAGGCCTTCATTTCCTATCTGACTACTCCGAGAAGAATGACGGAAAGATACTTTGGGGTTTTAGTCTTTGTTAAGGTGTAGACAAATAAAAATAATGCTTGAAAAATATATAGCTTTGATTAAACCATTCTATGTGGTGACTTAATTGTACCGATATAGTTTGAGTGCCCCGTGATGACCTCTACTGATACAAAATTAAGCCATTATTTAATGGATGTTAATATACATAAAAACGTTCAATCACCTTTTTTATAAAAAGAAAACAGCAACAAAATCCGTGGCTGGCTTTTCAAGATTTAAGCATACATAGGGGTTTTGGGACCGAGAAAAAGCGAATTTGTTTTTATACTATAGTAATAATGATAAAGAGACAAAAACCTTTACCTAACACTACTTCTACAATTTTCTGTACTAATACGTTTAGTAGCGACCTCTTTACTGATTCAATCTAGTACTATTGACAGGTACCTAGCAAGTGAAACGATACCTCCTGCACATGTTAATTCAAAGTAAGTATGTACCCACTTAGTGCCATCTCAAAGTGATTGTCAAAGGCTGTTCAAGTAACGGAGGAACAGAGGGAAATCCTCTCGAATAGGCAACCTGCTAATGTTTGATAGCTATTACCGAGTTGTTTATATAGAATAATGCTTTTCGTTATGTGTTCCTGGTTTTAATACTGGTTACATAATGTATGTAAAGCTTTTGTTTTATATATTTTTGGGTTTATGTTAATAGGCTATGCTAGTTACGCCCCGCGGTTTCACTCGCGTAGTTCTAGTTCTAGCTTATTATTATCGAGGATACAAGAGTTTGCAAACAGGGAAAAATTTTGAATGATATATTTTCATCAATTAATTTTAAATTCAATTATATGACACTGCAACAGTAAGCAAATGAATGAAGTAAAAACCAATAGTTTTGAAGGTTGCTTTTATTATATTTTAATTGAAAAAATATCCATTTGAATTTTACAATAAACCTTATAAATGTTCATCTTTTTTAGCAAAATTTGAATAATAAATATATTAATCGAAGCATTAAAACGAAACTTTATAAAACAGCCTCGTCTAAAATCTGTTTAAATAATAAACTGTCGATTTTGACGATTTGATTACAAATTTGTGGTACACAAAATAAAAAGTCAATAATAAATAAATAACAACCCAGTCACTAATGTCCTCAAATGACGTAATAGGTAATGGATTTCCCAAACAAAATCCAGTTCAAATAATTTAAATATAAAAATTTTCCCTACATTGACTTGTCATGTTCTTAGAATAAATCGTTAAATAGCAATGTAATATAATACTCTAGTTTATTATAACAGGTATATTATACACTAAGAGGTATTCAATGAATCCCAGCAATGTATTTGTGACGTCAAACAGTGTAACGTGTTTCGACGACCTTTAAAATATAAAAAATAAACAGTCATAGTTTGCTACATCACTGCTCATCAGAATAAAGTGAAATAAATCGTGACGTCACAGGATTCTTTTTCATAAAACGTTCCTTATATTAGTCTTTTATATATTTCGTTGGTGCGTTCACTAATATACTATTTCACCTACACATACGCAATAAGAATTTGTGATTTACACAAAGACTTCCGTGAATTCCGTGCGGGAATCGAAACCGCGACACGTTGTAAGGCAGCTGATTGGCAAGCCACTGCGTCAACCATGCAGTCAAATTATGTGAAGTCTATATTGTATATCTTGGAAATGACTTATTTGATTCTATAAAAAAAGAAAATAAACGTATTTAATATTTAACTTAGTTATTTTTTCGTCGAGTTTATTTTTATTAATACAAAACAAAATCCATAAAAAACCTCTTTGCTTAAGTTTTTATTCTTCAAGCGTTTTAAGGCTGTTTTTGTCTGTAATTATTCTTGATTGCAATTTGATTTTCGCTAAAAGAAATAGTATTTTTATTTAAATTTAATTTTATATTTTAATATAATTATAGTGTACACATACTGTATGTATATTCTAAAGTATTTCAATATAAATACTTTTATAGTCAAAATAAAGATTAAGTAACTGAAATTCGCTATGTGTAACACGGCAGTCACTAACAAATAAAACAATCATTTTGTTGCTTTCTGGGCGTCATTGTGTTTTTTTTCGTAAACCGGTTTTTGGACAGGTTGTGTGTAGGATTATGTTACACATTTTGCGTCATTCGTCTACGTTCGATAGTAGGTTACTTAGTTCTTACTTGATTACTGAGTAGGGTAACTAATTCATCAAGCGAACGCCGGCGTTCGCGCACATACTGTGTCTCGAATTAATTACCATGATTGAAAGTTTAAGAATGGCGTGCTATACTGTTGATCAAGGGGTCGCAAATCGCCGTCGAAGTATAGAGTTTCTTCGTTGGCGAAAATAATGGAGAAAATATATTTTTTAATTCAAGCTATCTGGTATTTTACCGGGAAGATAGACAGAGCAATAGGCTCCGTCATACATATAACTTGGAAAGAGTCTCTATGATCGTTGCTAGATTTCATAATCACTTACTTCGGAAGTACCTTTCCGTCTTAACCTTCAGGGCAACACAACATATATTTAATAAACATTATGTAATTGTATTTTGAATTGATAAGTATTAAGTAACTTAGCTACAAAATACATAATTATTAAAAGACCTTTTTGCTTAAGTTTTTTCTTCACTATCAAGTGTTTTTATGCTAAGTAATTTTTGATTACAATTTTAAAATAGTTTTTACGTATATTTAAAATGTTTTGTGCGATTTTTACAGTCAATTTATTTATGTTAATGTTATGTCTAAGCACGATGGCAACAAAAAGGAGTTGCAAAAATGTTGTCAATCTTTTGAGGCTTATCGATTTGAGGATTAAGGTAATAGAGGATGGGTGGGATGTGTAAGACTTGGGATTTTGGGAACCTTTCTTAATGAAGGGCTAATACTTGGACTTTGCTATTTTGCTGTTAAAATTACAAGTCAACTAAGCTTAATTTTAAAACATCATAGCTGAGAATAAAATTGTATGAAATTAATGAATATTTTTTATTTCATATTAATTCATTTTCTCTTTATCACAAGTCACGACTTTTGACTTTAACACACTATTCATGAAAATTATAGAAAGTAAAACTATGGGTAGGTACGTACCTACTTAGTTTTCGCAATTAAAATTTAAATAATGAGGTGGGTACAATATGTAATCGAGTTTAAAAAAAGAACACGCGTGACTTGCGATAAGTTTCAACGTACTGAATAGAATAAAAAAAAAGTATTTATTTAATAGGGTAAGAAACATTTCGCTCAGAGAAGGTCAACATGTTGTCAAGTGTTTCTTTCGAAAAAAGACAATTACTTTGAGATTACTTTGGCTATTTTTAGTACATACAATATCGAAGCGGGTCTTATACTTATATGTAGGTCAATATTAATTCCCAATAAGCTGGCAAAGCCCTCGTAACTAAATCCTTTAGTGTTGCTGGTGTGCATAGGCAGCGTCATTTGCTTACCATAAGATAATTGTTGATTGCCGTCTTATCACATAGAAAAAATATATTCTTACTAAGGAATACAAAAAAAGGAAAACTGTTTATTTCATTAAATAGAATAAGTAGGTAAGTACCTAGTGCGATTGTGTTCCTATTTATATTTAGGTAATGTTTCTTAAATAAATCGTTTGAGTTTGAACGCATCCTATACGACACATTCTGAAGAAAGAATTTATTAGTAAAAATTTTATCAATTTTGTTCGGCGGTTTAGGAGTAAAACCACAACCAAATAAACAAAAGCTGAACGCTAACAAAAAATATTTACCTAGTGCTGCTGAAAACCTGATGTGGTAAGTAGTTCAGAAGCAGCTATCAGTCATTCTAAAACAGACCTCTTTAATAATTAAAAGATTTCATAAAAAGAATAGTCTTTGATCAAGTCAAAATAATTAAGGATTGCTCGTAATTATCAGATGTCACCCATAATATCTGATGACAACATCCCGTTCCCGCAAAATTTCTAAATATTTTTTGGTGATAATTCATTTTTATCAATTACAAACATGCCACCAAATATTATATAATAGAAAACGTATTCAAAAATACATTTTTTATTAACGAACTAAATAACGTATTAAAAAAGCTATACACGGCAACACAAAATAAATGATAAAAACAATAATAAATAACGAAATTAAAATTAATTTGAACACTGACATATCAATTTTCATATTCGATTTACGAATTAAATTTAAATGTCTACATCATGTGGACAATTAAATTCACCACAGATCAAAGATCAGCGCAGTAATGAGTTCCGCAACAAAAAACCAGCCAGTCGTAATTATTAAATACTTCTTCGTAAATAAATTCAACAAGATGAAACAAGCTTTTAGTATAGACTATGTGTTTTTGCATTCAATTCATGAAAAATATACCAATTTGTTCTGACACTAAGTAGTGCCCAAATTCGATTTACCTTGAACCTAAAAAATGCACTAATTATTCAATGCACGCAATTTTATGCAAAACACGAATACCCGACAAAAACAAAAATTTGTAAACAAACGTGTTTAAAGGCAATCAATATTGCGTTTACAGTCAGCCCGATATATAAAAAAAATATATCCGACCTATATTGACTTCAAAAGGACACAAAAAAAACATTATAAATAATATAAAAATAACCGCGAAAAATATAAATAAAAACGTTTAAAAACTTACTTCAAGGTCAATGACTGTCAAAAAATCCCTTCACTCAGCCCTTTACACATACATCACTTTTGTCACGAAGTCGATTGCGAATCCGTCAACAAAACACCACAATATAACTCGTATGTGACATCTACGTACGACCCGGGCAGCAGTCAAACCAACACTGCACTTGCTTCTTGCGTTGCGAAATGCGTCGGCGCAGAATTACAACACCGGTTTACATTGACCTTTGATTCTTACCCACTTTTCCCTTACTCGCTAACATTTTGCACATAGCCCGGGAGGTGAGGGAGGTCTTTATAAAATGGTTGTTTTTGTACGCAATGAAATTTGGCTCATTAAAAGGATTGTCGGTGGTCTTTGATGGGGTTCAGTGACTTTCAAAGTTGCGGGAACGGGGGAAATCCGAATGTTTAAGAACTTAACATGTCACGGCCGATGCTTGCGTATTTGAAGGGAATGTTTACTATGTCGATTCTAGGACTTAGTAACAACATTTAGAGTTTAGTTTACTTTAAAGTTTGTTCGTCGAGTTTAGTAGCGAACGGTTACCTTCCGCGTGCATAATTTTACAAAAATATGATCTATATCTATCGGATCACTTTTTATGATGTATGCTCAAAAAAAGTCCTAAATGAGGCTATTATTATCTCTTTCGGAAAATTATTTTCGGACCTAAAACAAAAAGGTTCATACAATATTGTTGCAAAACCGGTTTAAAACCAGATTGACAACTATTGGCTTCACATAAGTCATTTGAATAAAACCTAGAAACATAATATTTTATTTTCTAACAAAACAAAGTTTAGGTAAGGGTTAATATTTAATTCGTTTTATTTATTATCTAAATATAGGTAATTGTAATTGTATATATCATCATCATCATCAACTTATAAGTGCCCACTCCTGAGCAAGGGCCTCATCTCACACGGAGAAGGTTTGTCGATTTCAAACTTATTTTAATTGTAAGCTTGACTCAAGATTTCCTTACGATGTTTTCCTTCACCGTAAGTCAGTGGTGCCTGAATAATCATAGAAAATACATATGACTCGGTAAAAGTGACACTGGAACATAATTTTAAGGTTTCGACACGCAATCCCGCATCCACATACACGGAAAGCGGGCGGTTTAACGTCCAGGCTACTGTGACCGAATTATATATTATAATACCTACATATATCAAAAAAAAGAAAACGTTGTACCACACTGGGATTTTCTCCTGTGTCGTGGGAGCGGTTACAAACATACAACTTCACATACACATGACACTCAGACCCGGAACAAACCCGCGACACGTTGCACGACAACCAGTAGCCCAGCCACCGCACCAACTGTGCAGTGGAATAAATATTCAATATGATTGTTTTTTTATTGTTATATACTACTCATAAACACTAATTAGTTTAATTGTAGCTGTTATTTTTACTTAGCTATTATTTTAACAAAAAACATTACTTAGGATTAGTAGATGTGACCATTAAATATCCTGTTTTTTTTCGTGAGGTGGAAGATCATCAAGGGACTTCTCTCGCCCAGGGTCGGGCGGGAGAGAGAGTCAGACTCCTATTGACTAAAAACCCCCTGTTCCATCTCCTGCTCTAGGCCGAGCTCGCGGTGACTCATTGCGCTTACCCCACCACTCCGGCTGATTAAATATCCTGTTAACAGTCTAACTAAAGTATTTAGAATCAAAATTCGGCTTTGTTTGCCACATGCCCTGTGTAGTGCTACGGAAACTAAGGCTTTCAAATTCTTCTTAAAAATTAAACAGGATCATATTGAATCCATAAATCGTAAGCCTGATTGCTAAAATTTTTCAAATGATTTGAAATCTCCTATTCTTTCTAATTTTCACATATTAATAGGAATATAATAGATGGTGTATAATATTTTTATTTTTTGTGAGCCTTTATGAAAATATGAATTTCGGTTTACATTTACCTTTTAGGACATATTTTTATACATTTTGGAACGAATGCCTACATTAATTAATTCATTTTAGTTTTAATATTTAAATTCAAAGTACGTAGATACGATTACGTTTTTGTGATCGGATATTAGCTGGACCCCAAAAGCAATAGAATATTCGCCAATATTTTTGTAGTTTCTGACAGAATCTGTTCCGTGACAAATCGTGTAAGAAAATCTCTTTCTTATGTATATTAAACAATCTATTTGTATGATAATATAGTAATAATGTTTACTCAGATGTAAACTCATTATTTAGTAGCGTTGAAATAGTAATTATTATATATTTTTTCTCGAAAATACTATATCCTGCTACGTAAGTCAAGTGGTCATACGTAATAATGCCAGAAAGAGGTTTAATATTCGATTATTTTGCCTGGAATTGTGCCTGAAATTTTGGGCAAATGGCAATAGGCTCATCCCCATTTGCAAGGAAACCAGACAAGAGACACCAGACAGAATATAAACATTTAAGGTTGCGATTCGGCCTATGCTTTCCTTCGGATTCAATTTTCAGTAAAAACTAAATATTTTAATACGATGGCCCATCATTATATACTAAAAGATATTTTTTCAATTTCAGAAGGTAGCAATCGAGTTGACGGATCTCCTGATGGTAAGTGACCGGCGCGGCCCCTGCACACCTGCAGTAACAGTTCGGGAATACCGCTGCTGGAAAATCATCCCAAAGTTCGAATCGCACAGGTGTTGACTGCCATCCATCTGCGAGAAGATGCGGCGAGGATCAAACCGAACAATTCCTCAGAACACATAGCGAGGCTACATCCCTACGCAGTGTCAAAGAGTCCAACCAGTCCGAGATAACAGGGTATGTATGCAGATGTGTAATACCCTGGATTAAAATAGGTTACTTTTTATCTACTACACGGGCAGAGCCGCCGCCGGAGGCCAGTAAATACAAACGAAAATAATGTAAAATAAACAAATTCAAATCGAACCATTTGTCAGTAGAAATATAAATTTATTTTTCTACACAAAATTCAATATTATTCTCTTAAAGTTTGGAAGGATAACCTTTTGAGCTTCCCAGACGTACAATATGTTGTATTCTATTAGTTTTGCTAGACACAAACCAATGAACTGTTAAGATTGCCGTATGAGAGCAAAGAGGTTTTTGAAAAATAAAGAGGACGCTTAAGATAAATAATGTCTATGGTTGAGACAGACAGACAAACAGAAGCTGTTTGTTATCGAAGTCAATGTTTTGTAGATAAAGTATTTCAGCGAATTTCAACTGAAATATTCATATTTTGTAATACCTGGTATTACCAATAAAGGAAGGAAGGACGCATTTACATAAATCCCATTTAAATAATATAATAGTTGGAGTCTGTTACTAAGTATCTTGTTGTATAATTTCATCTTTTTTTTATGTGTTTGGACAGAAAACGAGCTTTCGTTTATCTGATGGTAAGCACTGGGGACGGATTGGATGAGAGAAAGGATTGGGCTTCCGGGAACGACACTAACACGGCGAAACACAACGCTGTATTTGTTTTATACCGGTATTTTTTAAAACCATGGTATCACTCCGGTCGAGTTTTTACTACACTTAAAGTTTGTACTTTTGCGGAAAAGATAGACTATTAGTAATTTAATAAACCCTATGTCGGTTACAACTTTAGTGACACATATTAAATTTGCTGCGCGACGACGTTCACATCGTCGGGTTTCACACAATGCTACTCATAAATATGAGCTCCTTAATATCGTAACTTGAAATTTATGGCTAGCTCCGTCTGGAGCAGGCAGAAGAATTAGGGTGGTTTTTAATTAGTAAGAGATTGACTCACCCTTACTTTAAAGACAGACACCCGCCTACTTTAAAGATTTTCCGCGTTTGAAAACGTAACTTGACGTAGTCGAGTTTAACAGTCTTTTCATGGAATAGGAGGCAAACGAGCAGTCGGATCACCTGATGTCAAGGTTTGTTTTTGGTGCCATCCATGAAAACCAGAGGAGTTACGAGTGCATTGTCGGCATTTTAAGGAGAGGAAGAAGGACCTATTCAGAATTCCGAATAGAATAACATTTAACAAAAATCAACAGTATAAGATGGATTGAGTTAAATTATTGCTCAACTTAATTAAAAAAAATGGAAAAAAGACTTTTCCTTTCCACTCGCGAGAACCTATTTCAACTAACAAATCTTTGTTCAATAATTTTATTCATCGGCTCATTGCGATCGTTGCCAATGTAACTTGAACTCTATTAAATTGTTTTAAAGCTGATCAAGACTGACAAATTCTACTGTAAAAGTAACGTGAACATGTAAAGATACTTATTTGTTTTAAACTTTGTTGTTACTTGAAAACGTTTAATGAAGTTGTAACGAATAAATTTTTCGGATTATGTTCTTTTATAATGATGTAGATTTTAGTTACTGTGGTATAATAATCACAAATTATCACTATATTTTATAACTAACTTTCCAACAAACCGATTATCGGTTCAATTGTCCCTACTTTAAATTAGTTCCTTTACGTCTACAGTAACATAATTATCGACAGCCTATAAATAAGTATCCCACAGAAAAATAAGAACCGCTGGTAAACCCACTGCTGCGCAACGTGTCACAGATCCAATTCCCGCTATAAATTTAATGTCCCGGGTCTGGGTTTTTTTTTGTGAGGGGAAAATCATCAAATGATTTCTCCCGCCCAGGACCGGGCAGGAGGGAGTGTCAGACTCTTACTGACTAAAAACCCCCCTGTTCCTTCTCCTGCTCTGTGCCGAGGTCGCGGTACCTCATTGCGCTTACCCCGCAACCCCGGCTGAGTCCCGGGTCTGGGTGCGATGTGTATTTGGAACGGTATGTTTGAAAACACATCCACTACACAGTTTTAATTTATCACCTAAGCCCACCGATGGTTCTTCTATTGTTTCTCGAATTACCACGATTGAAAGGTTAAAATAAATCTGCATGATATATTTGTTTTATGTTTCTACATTTTCAATTTTCCAAATAGGAAGATGGATTTCTGCTTCTCCAGAGACTGCACTCTCACAGCCGATTTGGATTAAGATCTATTTCATCATCAGGCTTTAAGTTTGGTAATCTTGCAGGTGCTTACCGGGCACGGCAGCTTTGGTAGGTTCCTGTTTCGGATCCAGCGGGAGGAAACGCCCGAGTGTCGTCATTGTGCGGATCACCTGGAGGACACGGTGGAGCATACGGTGGCGGAGTGCCCTGCTTGGGCTG